GGACTCGCATTCTTTTGTTGCAGAGCCTGAATGCTGTGGAATTTGCCATTAACAGCAAATGCAATTAGCTGATACAAAATGATTCTCACCAAGCAGAAGGAATAAAATTCACATTACTCACCTTAGTATCTTACATAGCTTTCAATGCACTCAAAAGTGAGTCTTGGGACAGCCTGCAGAATTCCCTGACCTTAACAATAATTAAGATAACAAAAATAATCTTTTAGTAATTGTTTGGGAATTTAAAAAAGTGTCATTTAAAAAAAAAAAACATGCAGTTAAGTGATGTTAAAGGGAATGAAAATTCTGTCATTTACTCACCTTCATGCCAAAATTGTAAGCATTGCATTCTTCTGTGAAAAACAAGAGAAAACTTTGAGAAATGGATGATAACTGAAACAGTTTGGTTACCAACATTCTTCAAAATATCGTATCTGTTTCGCAGAAGAAAAAGTCACACAGGTTTGGAACGACATGAAGGATAGGTAAATGATGACAGAATTTTTATTTTAGGTGAGCTATCCTTTTAAGTTTAAAATTGTATTAAGAAAGAAATAGTTTGACCTGAGTATAAATGCAGACTATACTCTAGACTAAACATAAAGCATTAAAATTACATATACTGAAAGGTTTACTGTCTCCAAACTGAAGTACAGTTATGTCAATGTTTTTTTAATGACGTGGACCATCACATCATCTCTCATACACGACTCATACAGTAGGAGTTATTTCTTCAGAGTAGTGAAGGCTGCAGTGCTTTATCTGCCAGACCGGCGTGCGTCTGTGTAATTCTCAAAAAGTCAAGCATAGCATCCGTCACCAATAATAGGTACAGCTGAGAGCTCTGGTGCTAACAAGGCCTAAGTGGGAAAGTGGTTAACAAGGAAACCATCGCTCCGTCTCTCTAATGCCAGCCCCATCTATTCCTTCCTCCCCCAACCAACACTCTCCCCCTCCAACAGCCCTCCATCCACTGCATAGCAACCATTGTGCCTTTACCTCGTACTGAAAATGACATGTTTACTCTTGACCAATAGGACTGGTGTACTATATTAAAAGGCACAGCATTGAAATGCATTAGCGCTGTAAGATCCGCTCATCTTGTGCTCTTTTCTCCATCATGAAAATTCTCTCACGATTTCTCTTTGCTTACATTTTCTTGTCTCTCTCTCTCTCTCTCACCCCTTTGCCTGTTAACATCCCCCTCGTCTTCTTTCCCGTCCTCTCTCCCGCCTCTCTCTGCCTTTCTCTAGTGTTTGGGGGTCTTGCCTGATACCCATTAGCGTTAGGGCTTATTACCTGGGTAATGAGCGACACAGTGTCTAATTAGCCAGGGCTTGGAGAAACTGACATCACTCCAGGCCTGGAGCTGCCACTGCCATTAGCAGAGCTCCTCTAAGTGATCTGTCTGTGGTCTGTTAAAACCATTACATTCATTATGGATCAATCAAAGGAAAAGGTGTTGCGGCTAATTGAGGAGTGGAACAATGCTTAAAATCTTGCTGTAATTGATGGGTAAAAAAATGAAAATAAGAAAAACACCCCATCGATGTCTGGATAATGGGTATATACACTCACTGTGTGATGGATAGATTTTCTTGCATAATGGATGATTGGTTTCTGAGTGAACATCCTGTGTCTTTTAATGAAATTATCTTGAGCAATACCTTAACATGTCCGGTGAGAAGAGCTGTAGCATTATTTGAAGGTTAGCCAAGTTAACTTTTCTTGTAAATATTCCTATCCTGAGTTTTTTGCTAAATGCAGGTATAAACCATAATCTTGTCACACTTTACACATTATTTGCTTCTTGACTCATTCTGAAAAATATCTTACGTTTTGTACTGTATCTAATAATGATAATAAACTATTATAAAACATTATTGTTACCTATATTTTCTTATTTATTTTTAGAATTACAAGCAAGAATTCAAAAGGTTTATAGTAAACATTTGCACTGACCATTTACTGTGGTGCATTTCAAATTTTTAATATTGAAATATTTCTCTGACAGAGTCTCCAAATTTTGTCTTTAATTTGAGAGATTTGGTAAGTTAGCACAACCAAGTCTGGTGAAGTTGATGCATTTTGGAGAGGAAAGGAGGACCTCTTTGGACTTAAAAGCCCCAACACTCCTTTAGATTTGACCCGACAATTTTTCTTCCTTTTTGGTCTCATGGCCTCATCTCGCTCTCTTTTTATTTGTGTGTGTCTTAAAACATACAAGGCAGCAGACAGCTCTGGACAGAGATATGAGGAGCCTTCAAAGCTGTGTTGTGACTGCTGTTTCATCTCAGTACAAAGGGTTATGCCGAAATGTGTTCCGCCTTTCAGTATATTTAGCATTTTTGCTAATGATGCATAAATCAACAGGGCGCTTTTCTCTGCACCACCATATGAATCTGTAAACAGACCGAGGAAGTTATGCCATCAAATGTGATTTCACTTTTACCATTAGCTGCATCCCTGAATCTTTTTGACACCCAGACGTTTTGATGTTGCAATTTTTTAATTAAAATCATTTCATTTTTTTATTTCAAACTTTTTTTTTTTTTCAGTAAACTAATGGCTTCAGCATAACCTTGTAAAATATTTCAAGCAGATGAAACTTTCCCTGGGAGTTCATTTAACACTGATAAAACTTGATGAATCGAGTTACCATTTGATTAAACATAATGATCGGCAACCATACACGACTTCGCTCAAACTAATCTTCGTAATGAGGGCGTAATTGCCAAAAACAAGCAAATCATTCCACCCAGCAGAGCGATATCGACAAATACTAATGAGGCCTGCTAGTAGAGGGTTACAGTGTTTGTTTACACAGGAGAGCGAGAGAGCCTGGGAAGATCTGTGGCAGAGGGGGGGAAAAGGCAGGATTATTTGTAATTGCGTGTGCCAAGTGTTTAATGCAACAGATTGGACACAATAGCAGTGGCAGAATCAGCTGCATATGAGTCCTCCATTATCCTGCAGTGGTGAAGTTGGGAGACAGATTGCAACACAGACAGGCTTGACACCTGCTCGCGGCTCTCCTGCTCATACCACCACTGGGGAGAGGAAACCTGATTAACTGCGCTGTGCTAATAGAGAGAGGAAATTAACACAGCGGTATCCTGGTGTAGGAGAGCTATACTCAGAGAGGGGTGTTTAACCACTGGCAGCCAGAAAAGCCATGGTGAGAGATTAATGAACTGTGCAGTGATGGAGCTCAGAGTCGTGCTGTTGATGGGGTTCAACAAGTCTCTGTTTGGGGCTAATGATTCTGCGAAGACGCTGCACACACTATGGCACCGGAGAGCGCCGAGCTCTAATGCACATTTCGGCATAAAATTAAGGGCAGTTAGACATGGATAAACCTAATCGCTGCCTGTTGCCATGTAATTACTTTTCATAAAACTGTTCATTATATGCTAGAGCGTAATGCTATTCAGTATTCATTCTCTTTTGTTTTGGTTGTTTGGTTAAATCTGTGTAAATAGACATAGTTGCCGTCTACATGTTGAAGTTCTTCCCATGTTTAATATGTATGAGGGAGGGAGAAATGAATTGGATTGAGTGTGCAGAATCAAACTGACTTGCGAACTGACTCGGTGCCTGAGTGTGTGGTTTGGCTCTCCTGCAGTGGTTGCCTTTAGGTATTAACAAGTGACAGGCTTTCTTTTCATTGGGTATCATGAGGCATCTGATGAAGTCTAGACTGTCTGGAATATATTCCCTTCAATCATTGATAATATCCCTAAAGAGGTCATTATGGCATTTAACTTGGAGCTGAGGGAGCGCCTACTTGGGGAAAAAATGCTATTATTTGCAGCTGATGGAAAAACCCTCAAGACTTCATGTTTTTGGAGTAGCGAGTTGATGTTTGCTGTCAGGTTAAGTGAGTTTGTGGAGTAGCAATTTAAATGTTATCTTGCACATGCAGCATGCACATATATGTTATGTGTTAGCCTTACTCTTTCCCTATACTTTATCCTAACTGAACGAGCATTGCAGTGGCATTGAAATGTTTTGAATTTTGATGATCATAGAAGAAGTGAAAAGATGCCCAAAGTTTTGAGAGCACGGGGCATCGAGATCGAAGGCAAGGTAAATGTTTGCCATCAGATGGCAATGATGTGTCTCTCTCTGTGAGTTCGTCTGAACGACGACACAACAGTTTTCCACTATGAAAGCCTGTCAGAACCATGTGGTGGCAAGCTGCTGCTGCCCAAAAACCTTGAATGGATTCAGAAGAAACATGTTTGTGGTTTATAAAGTTATTTAATATGTACCCTATTTTAACATAGTGAAAGTTGTGCCACTGTAAAAAATTATTTGATTAATAAGTTATGACAAGATATGTTTTTACATTGCTTTAACTCATCAAAATAAGTTAAGCAATTTGAAACTTTTAATTTTTTTTTTACAAAAGTTATACAAGATTCAACTCATTTTTTAAAGTCAATTTAAGTTTAAAAGACTTATCCAAGGTGACTGTATTAATAAATTTAAGGCAGCAACTTTTTTTTCTTTTTTTTTTAACAGCCTTACTGAACAACTGTTTGGTGGAATAATTATTTCTAATTTTTATATTTTTATTAGGTATTATTTTACTAAAGTTTAACTACAAGAACAGAGGTCTTCAACAGGCTAAATGTCTAAATGCCGTTTGATTTCAAACTATTGGAAAATATACAGTACATTAAATATGATTTTAAGTTAACGTCAACCATGTGTGTGTGTGTGTGTGTAGCTAACAATATAGTCTGCAGATATGATTTTTGTGTATGAAATGAGTTTTTTTTTTTTATTTATTTTTTTTTTTTAAGCTATAAGTGCTCTTTATGCGATTCATCAGGATTTAAGGTCGGCCTAATTGTTAAGTTTAGGAAGAGTGAGAATTACTGGGTTAGTTATTGAGCGTATAATGCTCTTCAGAGTCATGCAGGGGCGATGGGGGCAGCAGACTTTAGAGGTGATGTCGGAGTGAAGGCTGCAGACCGTTGTTTCGGTGATGCTGCCGCCGGGTCAGTTCTTCAAGTTCGTTTCCAAGGAGGAGAGACGCCTCGCGCCAGGGCTCCGCCCCCTTCTCCTGAATGCGCGAGCAGCTGCTTTCAAACCCAACTGCTCAATTCCATTCATTCTCGAGAGGGAACAAAAAAGTGGCTATTTATTAGAATACTTGTTTTGTATTGTTCCGCGTCACACAAAAGGGGCTTTATTATGTAAGAAGGAACCCTTTCGCCGGGAGAAACAATAACTTGAAATTGTCTTTAGAGTCTATAATAAATTTCATTTTCTTGTCTCTCTCCTCAGTGTGTAGTGAGTGGTGGGACTGGGAGCTGGGTATGGCTGGCCTTGGCACACTAAGGGTAGATTTTTAGCAAGGATGGCGGTCTGGCGAGTGGCTTTGGCTGGGTTAGGACAGCGATAGCACCGGTAAGGACGATTTTACATCACTGCAAATGAGGGACAGTGCAACGTATGTTTATATAGCTTTAAAACCAAATTTAGATTGATATGTATTATTTTCCGGCAAAAATCTTAGGCTACATCTGGATATATTAACTGATTGTAAATGAATGTTCTCATCTAGAAACTTGATATTTTTAGACAATTATGTCGCCTGGCTAACAGATTAAATGAAGTTCGTAAGTACGCCATAAAGCCTGTAAACGGAAAGCTGTGATTGTCGTCAGTTATAGGCTACTGAGCTACATGATCGCATGATATAGCCTACTGTGTCGGATAAGAGATATTAACGCGCTTTTCCCCCCTTGTGAACAGACCGGAGACTAGCTTTTTTTCTCTCAGACTACCGGTTGGTCCAGTGTCGGTAAAGTCGCATTTTACCGGAAGACTTGTCGAAAGATAGCCTATATAATACGCGTTCGTATTTACAGCATTGAGCGGGAACAATTATTGAGGGAAGTCAGACAGTTTTGCTCGTTAAGTTTTTTTTTTTCCTTTTCCTTTTCCTTTTCTTTTTTAATTTGTACATTTGCAGCTTTAAAAGACAACCTGCTATGCTCAGGTGTAGCCTACGTGAATTTACATTTAAGTAACCTTTAAATAAAGTTTAAATGCTATTAAATTAAATTAAATTTGAAAATATGTAAACCAGTATATTTATGCTGATTAAACGACTTTTTTTCTCTGTAAAAAATAAATAAATAAAAAATAACTTTGATCTTGTGAATATTGTATGAAATGAACTTTTAGATTGAGTATTGATCAACAGATTGATATATCATCTGTTTAACAGGATGTTATTTGCAAGCGTTTAAAGCCTCGTCTTACCACAGCCCTTGTTAAGTCGACCTGTTCACAAGAAGAGACACACAAAGGACTTAAACAACCAAATTAGGTTAAACAAGTCTACAACAACAAACAAGTTTAGGACGCTTTAATTTTGCAGTGAAATACTTTCGTTAATGAACAGCTCAACACACATGGCTACAAATATTTAAATTGTTTTTTTTTATTATTATTATTATTAAACTGATTGATTTAAATAATCAATTCCCATTTCGCTTATTTATATTTTGGCATCATACATTATATAGAGTAGGCTATGTTATATCCCAGTCCCCATCGTTCCATCCCCATTCCCTGCTTCTGTCACAAAATGTTTTATGAACTGTACGATTGCAAACACACTTCATTTTTGCTTTTCAGTCTTTCATTTTTTTATTTTTTTTTTATTACCAAGGACATCTCTCTAATATTTTTACTACAATAGTGTGTGTTTTGGACACCCCAGCTCTCGCACGTGCGCTAACAGTGTCCTATTGCCCCCAGCACGCGCAAAACAAAGACTCTGTGAAGAGCGCGACACTGAAGCAAAATGAGAACTGACAGTGCACGTTGTTTCAGGAGGGCCACAGTGTGGTTTAGCGCTCTAATCCGAAGGTCAATTAAATAAAATGAAATAAAAATGTGTTATTTAATCTGCCCAATCGTTGCCATAACTAACTAAATTACAAAAAAAATGGCTTTTTTTTGGAGCTTGTATGGCACATTTTTATGTTTTTAATTTAAAAAATAATAACATACCTACTATAATTTCTACTAATGTAGGATTCTATATATAATTAGGCTATTTATAATATTATTGTTCATAGTGCTGCTGACGGGCTTGCTTTCGTGTTGGAATATTTTAAACAACAAATATAAATAAAAAACAATTACTTACAATTAATTTGTAAAACCTTTCATATTTATTAGTGTGTAGTAAAATTATTTCATACAATTATTGCATTTCTCAAAATATAATATTTTCTTTTAATCAAAATCAGGAAAAAAGATGAAGAAACAAATTATTTTATCAACATAAAATGAGTGGCTAGACACTGGAGACCATCACTAAGTAAATGAAAAACCATCTAAACTATTGTTTTTTGGGCAATGGAAAGCCCTGACTCTCTTTTGTCAAAACATGTTTTCGTTCTTGTTATAGCTGCGTCACATAGCCTATTCAAAAATACAGACTAGGCTACCAACATCTCTAAAGAATATATATTGAAATGATATGTCTTGTGTGTCTTCGAAGTTGATGGCGGAATAATAGGCTACTTTTGCTGTCCAGCTACATTTTTCTCGATTGGTTGTGCGATTGGATCACATTTTGTACAATTATCCTTGCATTATAGGCTTGAGTCTGATTTTCATTCAGACAACGCCTTCATGTTTGCCTTGCATCCACTATATTTTTATTTTGAGATAACTTAAGTTTTCCGTATTCATTTTACGCGCAACAAAATCTTAGCAGTGCACCACCAGACGGCAGTATCCTCGATTTAAGAAACTCGATTTAAAATTGTTGTTTACCTCTTAAAATAATATGGTGTTTTATTTTGTTCCAGTCAAACAATTACTAGGTATTAAGTGAATTGGTTGTGTTGATTATCTTTGGCAAAAAAAGATGTTGGCTAATTGAATGCAAAGTGAAATGAGGGTCTCATTCGACGTTTTTAAGCATAGCATACGTGAGCATTTAAGCATTTATAATTGATAAATTAATTTCGACCGATTTTATTTTCCTTTAACATTTTTATAATCAGAGATATTGAGCAACATATAGCTGACAAGTGGCTGTCTACCCTAGACGCTTTTTTTTTTTTTTTTACACACACAAAGATTTGGCAAAACGTCACGAGGGAGCATAGCAGCTATTACAGTTATTATAAAGAATTAGATCGTATCTTGTAATGTCATCTAAATGGATAAAATCTACCATTTGTCCTCTTGTTCATTTATTGCAACCATTGAAGAGGCTCAAACTGCTACCTCAGTATTTACTCTACTTTAGAGGGGGCGGTGCTGACCCTTCGCGCACCCCGCCTACTAGTTCTTTCCTCGCTGTCTACGTCACTCCACCGAACTCCATGCAAATCGCTCCTCACTGGAACCCCATTGGCCGCTCGCTCATTTTAATCGCTGTCAAAACGCATCATATGGCCGCCGCTTTAACTAACTCTTCAACTCCACTAGGAAAAGTAACTCAAATGCACGTTCAATTAATGTGGATGTGAAACGGCAGTCGGAGACGACACAAACAGGCTACAGGAGCAAAAAGAGACCCTGAAACTAACAGCAAACGGTTGGGAATAAGCTGAATTCCACATTTCACCAGAGCTCCACTGGCTCGTGAAGCACCTGCTTCAAGCGGACTACAGAGCGCCGAAAGTTCATGCTTTTTCTCTGCTAGCTGAAAACTTTTAAGCCACTTGAATGTATAGCATGATGATGGAGACGGACCTTCATTCCCCTGGACCCCAAACCAACACGAATCCGGGGCAAACGGGTCCAAATTCGGGGAGCAAAGCCAACCAAGACCGCGTAAAAAGACCCATGAACGCTTTCATGGTCTGGTCCCGGGGCCAGCGCCGAAAAATGGCTCAGGAGAACCCCAAAATGCACAACTCTGAAATTAGCAAAAGACTCGGTGCTGAGTGGAAAGTGATGTCAGAGGCTGAAAAGCGGCCCTTTATTGATGAGGCGAAGCGGTTGCGAGCCATGCACATGAAAGAGCATCCGGATTACAAATACAGACCGAGGCGCAAAACCAAGACCCTGCTTAAAAAGGACAAGTACTCGTTGGCTGGCGGCTTGCTCGGCGGTGCAGGTGGCGGGGTCGGAATGAATCCTGCAGGGGTCGGCCAGAGGTTGGAGAGTCCTGGCGGTCACGGAGGCTCGGCCAGCGCCGGCTACGCACACATGAACGGCTGGGCGAACGGCACTTACTCCGGACAGGTGGCCGCCGCGGCAGCAGCGGCTGCGATGATGCAGGAGGCTCAGCTCGCTTACAGCCAGCACCCAGGTAGTGGGTCTCACCATCACCACGCTCATCACCATCACCCGCACAATCCTCAGCCCATGCACCGCTACGACATGACTGCTCTTCAGTACAGCCCCATCTCGAACTCCCAGAGCTACATGAGCGCTTCTCCGTCCGGCTACGGTGGGATATCATACGCGCAGCATCAAAACTCCAGCGTCGCTACTTCTGCGGCCATCGGCACGCTGAGCTCGCTCGTGAAGTCCGAACCCAATATAAGCCCTCCGGTTACCACACACTCCCGAGTCCCCTGCACCGGAGACTTGAGAGAGATGATAAGCATGTATTTACCGACCGGGGAGTCCGGGGATCCGTCTGTGCAGAGCAGACTGCATGCCTTACCGCAGCACTATCAGAGCACAACTGCCGGAGTAAACGGAACTGTCCCATTGACGCATATTTGAAACAGCTGATGGAAAGTGATGGGTAACACTCCACCAAAAATATTTACCTCTTCTTTTTTTTTTTAGATTGTCATTAAACTACTTTTGTACAGATTGTTTTATGATGTTATTGTAAATTAAAGGTAAATATTGTTTCGATTGCAGTTCGGAGAGAAACTGAGATCTAATGAAATGCATCACATTCAGTGAAACATTGTTTAAATATGACGTCTTTAAAAATGATTCTGACAGCGTTTCTGGCCACGCCAAGATATATGCGACACACTGTTATCCTTTAAATATTTAAGTTTCTGTGCAAATTGACTTTTTGAGTTGATAATAACAAAAGTCTAGCGTGAATAACACAATGAAATGTTTTTGAGAGCCCATAAAGAGTTTTCTGCTTATTACATTTACCAAAACGTTTGTATACGTGAATTAATGTACCAGATTTATGTTGTAATATTTCTTGTAAATTGTGAATAAGTTTTAATATTTCAAAAGACTGGCACGTCACTGCTGCTGTACATAATTTATGACATGCATTCCTGCCAGTTCAAATCTTAACCTTGCGTTGATTCATGGTCTAAATAAAATTGGAGAAAAAGTTACTCTGCCCTAAATTGGTGTTAGTTTTGTTACCTATCAGACTTTGTCATTTAACATGTGTTTGGTTTACTACACTTTCTATTAGACACTTTCTCTTCGTGGATTACAGACAAAATATTAATCGGCAGGTATTAATACTTTATTTTGCTTTAAGACCTTTTAGTTTTAATGTGTATTTTACGAGCTTCAACGTGCTACTAATGAGATCTTTGAAAGTATCAAAACTGGGAAAACGTATTTTCTAAATAGGTCACACTTGGTCACCCGTCATAGGAACTTGAATATATATTACAATAAATATGCATTAGAAGCTTTTGTGGGAAAATAATTGTATATAGGCCTGTAGACCTTTAATGATTATTTTAAATGTGTGTCGTACTTTTGTCATTAATTTATAATTTGAGTCATTTTATTTAAGTGTAATTGCCTTTCTAATATGCCGTCTAGGTAAACTAAATTAATAATACATGGATACTATTTTTTTAAAAACAAAGATTAAACTAGAGAAAACTAGAGAATAAAATTATAAATATTGTATTGCATGAATACAAATATTATGATAACTTCAATGTTGTTAAAGTCGCCTTGCAAAATTGTAATTATCACTCATGTAAAGGTATTTTAAATATGTTTACTTATATAATTAGACTGTAGCTGTGTACTAACTTCACAAATGCTTTTTCAATTGTAGACTTTGATTGGTAGGTGTATCATTTTGTGTAGCCTACTTGAAAACAAATTATTATTATACGTGTATCAAGGGTTGGTTTGAAATTGCACTGAAATTGCATTAACTAACTTTGTCATTTCGTCTATCACGATAATATTTGCAGTTCAAAAGTTTTATTGTTTAACTCACACGTTTACCTCTATAGCAAACCTGATTTATTTTAACCATAGGAGTTGGCTATAATAATGAATCAATTGTAGGTAGATTTTGTTGGGTAAGTTTTGAATTTAATTAGGCTACTTTTGAAAATGAATTCGCCTATGTTAGTACATCTGCGTGTTTAAAAACATATGTAAAAAGGTTTTCACACGAGATGTTTATAATATTTCTGACAATGAATAATAGCTCGTTTCACTTTTTAAAGTAGATTTCAATTCACACATGAAACGTGTTTGAGTAGGCCCACATACTCAATCAAAACACGTGTTTGTACTGCAGTAACTGTAGTCTCTTATTATATGAAAAGTGTGTGAACGTTTTCATTTCCTAGTTTTGTTGCTTATTTATTCTCGAGTCCCTGCGTGTGAAGAATTGTGGCTGAACATAATGTGATCTGAAGCAGGGGCAGAAGGATGCTTAACAATGACCTGGATCAGCCAGCAAACACGCTGACCTCTGGGACAGAAAGTCAAAGGTTATTACAATTACCTGCTGTCATGGGGCTAGTTTAGCAACAAGTGTCAGAAGTGCAAAGCTGCAACACCCTTTGGCACCAGACGTCCCTTTTCTCGTTGGGATGCGCATGTGAGGCCTGCAAAACTGCAAGTGCCACTTCACGCACTTGAAATAAATATGAAGCAGAACAGAGTCAGGAGTGCTAAAACTGTTATACGTCATAAATTGCACGATCTCGATAGCATTTATTTTTTTAACAGAGCACTGAATAGTGACACCAAATTTGGGTCAACTATGGACAAACCCAGCCATTGGGTTAAATTTGTACATTACATTTTTAACCACATGTTTGGGTTTGTCCATATTTGACGCAAAATTGGGTTAAAACAACCCAACAGTTTTTTAGAGTGTGTCTGTTTTATTTCAGCCACGTTTCTTTCATGAAAACAGATCTTACATTAAACGGTCAATTATTCTGAACACAATTTCCTTTCCCCTCCACTACTAGCCCATATGAGAATGTCCACTCAGGTCAGGAGCCTTTTGTATATCTCCAGATGAAAAACTACACGGATTAAGCGCCGAAAATAGAGAGGCGGAGAACCAAGTCACGGCACTTGCCAGGTTAAAGAGAAGCGTTCTGGTAAATTTAACCAAAATAATTTACCACCCCGCCAAAAGAGGGGAAGGCACGCGGGGTGGGATGGGTGAAAAGGATGGGATGGAGTTCGAGGTGGGAGGGGTGGCGGTGGACTCGAACCAATAAATCGTCTCAACGTGCGATACCCTTATCTTGTAGCCACCGATATATTCTGTGCTGGGAAGCCATCAACACTGCTGGCTCGTATGAAAACTCCCGATCTCTTGCACTCGCTGTCCTAAATGGGGATAATTAGCATCACTTTATCACGCCTCTGCATATTTTCTCCCTTCTCCAAAAAACCCGGTACGCTGCTATTGGTCGCTGCTCTGTCACAGAAGATTACGGAGACAGATTGCACGGAACGAATGTGCTGAACGAGATTAGGGAGGAATAGAAATAGCAACTGGGCCAATAAATTCCTCGCGAGGGCCTTATCGTGCAATTACACGTTGACATGTTTAACAATCTTGCTGCCTCTTAATCCTGCGCCCTTCCAAGAGGCGAGATGCTGCGCCGTAATTTCTGCAGTCTGCGATTCCGGAGCAGTAATTTAAGCATATGCACAACGCCACGAAAAAGCAACTTTGTTCAAACTTTTATTTAGCAAAATGTTTCTGTCTTTCTGCTAAATATAAATGATTTGTTCCACACCGTGACCAACATTCTCTTTTAGCCGCGGCAGACACGGACCAGGGGCCCGAGCATTGTCGCATGTAAATCAGCCCCTTAAGTTTCAGTACGATTTTTGTCTGAATTGCGTCATTATTGCTCGGAAGAGCAAACAGTAGACTAATTCATTGGACTAATTTAGTGATGCACTCATGGGATTGCTTTTCACAGATTTTCTCATGTTGTTGTTGTGCATCACTGAGAATCCAATTACCATTATAAAACGACTGCTGTTCAAAAAGTCTAGACTGCTTTATCTAAAAAAAATACAAATAAAATGCTAGATGACCAATGCAAGGCTATAAATTTTTCAAGGCGCTTATGAAGCAAACTGCTTGTTTAATAAACTACTCGTACCTTAACTGTCTGTCTCTCTCTCTCTCTCTCTCTCTCTCTCTCTCTCTCTCTCTCTCTCTCTCTCTCTCTCTCTCTCTCTCTCTCTCTCTCTCTCTCTCTCTCTCTCTCTCTCTCTCTCTCTCTCTCTCTCTCTCTCGCCCTCGTGTTCGGCAGAGAGGTCTGTGTAAGGATGATTGTGAGAGACTCTGCTGGAATTTGGCAGGCCCGCTGCTTGGAGAGGCGCCCCACGCTGTGACTCCCATTCAGCGGTCCAGCGCGCTGTGAGGTTGGGAAGTTTCACTGAGCCGTGCACTCAATGGCTCCACAAAGCTGATTACAAGCCCCAGCGAATTCCTGAAGGGACCGGGCAGCCACGCAGGTGTGCGGGAAACCGGGGCAAGCCTTCAGAGTTATAGTGACAGAGCAAGACAAGCCATGAGACCACACAAAAAGCAAAGCGTCCCAGGAAGCGGCCAGGGATTTGGTGGGAAAAGAACACCTTAAATGTCTCCCTTGTGAGCAAAAAGGGAAAGAGAGGAGAAACTTTCCGAAGGCCTAATAAAATGATGCGCAGCCTTCTCAGGACAGTGAACTAAAATGGCTGTGCACTGGAAACATATTGTTGTGTTCATTTTGCCATATGCATTCTGAATAGTCCATTGGGGTTCAGGGTTAACAACGATTCATAAAACGTAAAGGCCTGCTCTCTCTCACTGTGCCCAATTCATTCTCCCTGGTGCGAAAAAATCTACATCAATGAAACAGACAGCGTATTTAATTAGAGCGGAGTCTAACTATCAATTACTCAGGAAAAACACAGGATCCCCAAGGACCGGTAATCAGCGCGCCAACAGTCGGCCGCGCGCTCATTACAGCAAAGCGACAGGCGGGAATAATAATCAGGGCGCGGTGACGCATCTGCCTACTGTATTTCCACCGCATCCTGGTGCCTCTCAGAACTTTAATAACTCGTCGTTTGTACTCAGTTTCGCCGTTTTGACCCTTGTTAATATTGTTGCTGTATTAATTTTGGCCTAATGTCATTTCTCTTTTGGACTTTTGGCCTATAGTCCATGCATGATCAGTTTACTTTAAACAATTCACTTAATTGACATTTTGTAACAACTTTAATTTTATTTCATTCAGTCCACCTAAAAGCGTAAAATATAGGTTTACTCAAACCATCTGTGTTATTTTTTTTGTAGTTTCTATGCTTTTCATTGGCATGAATGGAAAGAGTAGCCTAAATGTTGAAATTAATAATTTGACTGTTGTTTGTTTTATTTGTTTGTTTGTTGTTGTTGTTTTTTTGGGGACAAAATGAAAAAATGAGACTTAGCCTACTACTACTAGACTATTGCTCTCTTGGGATCGAGATTGTGTCATGCTGAAGTTTTAGTGTTGCGGCTAGGTGAGGAGCTTGGGTTTAGGTTTAGTGGAGGTTGGGTTTAGGCTACACAGTCTCGTGAAAGTGCGTATCTATACCACGAATGTTATTTCTCGTGCCATTTATACGCCAAAAATGTTTTTTGCGTGCATATGCTACTCACTGAAAACCCCTTGGGTAGGATTAGGGGGAGGGGGTGCGTGCGTATTACACGCCATAAAGTGCGTATCATATGCACGCGAAAACTGCGTATCATATACACGCAAAAACTATTTTTGGCGTATAAATGACACGAGAAATAACATTCGTTGTATTGATACGCACTTTCCTGACACCATTTAGCATGCCAACGTGCATAGTTGCTAGTAGTTTAAAGAGATTCAAGACTAAGTTCTTAATTTTATTGGGTTTTCTCATTCCAACTAGGTTGAGGCTATATGAATTCGAGTTGACTGCACATGGACATTATATGTAAAAAAAAAAACATTTTCACAAATTAGGTTTTTTCACAAATTACTGATTTATCTATTAAATGTGAAATATTTTTGAGTTCAGCAACTTTCATTCAATACCATGGAAAGTCTGTGTTCGTCCAACATTTCCTCAGTTTGAGTGAGGGCTCAGTCTTACTTTA